TGTGTGTAGGTTTTTATGTGAACATAAGTCTTCAATTCTGTTGAAAAAGGGCTAAGGAGTGCAATTCCTGAGCTGTATGTAGTCACTGCTGGAGTGGGCTTCTGAAGGGTGCATTTGGGATGGAGAGGTCTGCACCAGTGGGAAGCACAGGCCTTGGAGCTGGTTCAAGTCCCAGCTTTGAACCCAGACCCTCTTGGGTTGCTTCATACTGCTATAAAGTGGGGACAGTTGAACTTACCTTGTAGCTAATGCATGTAATAAAGCACCTGGTACAGTGAGCCCTTGACTTACAAACTCAATTCGTTAGCGAGGGCTGGTTGTAACTCAAGTTGGTCAATTGAAGGCTTGGGCTCCTCTACACAGCCTTCAAAGTCTCCTGTATATAGGCAGATCGCAGTGTCCATAGAGAGACATTGGCTCAGGATTTCTCAGCCCCACACAGGAAAGGATGTTGTAATGTTCGTTCCAGAATTCTTTAAGAGTTAAATCTGAATCTAAGACCATCTGGAAGCACAAGCAGCTGGCATTCAGGTTGTAACTCAAGACTTTGTTCTTAAGACTAAAATTCTGGTCATAACTCAAGGGTCCACTGTACAGAGTAAGTGCATGCATTATTCATTTTCTGCTACTTCAGTGAAATAAATACCTGAGTCTGAGTAACTTTATAAACAAAAGAAGTTTATTTAATGCACAGTTCTGAGGCATGGCATCAGCATCAGCTCAGCTCTGGTAAAGCCCTAATGGCCAGTAGCATCACAGTGTGTACAAGAGAGCGAGATTACATTGTGAGTCAGAAAGCCAGAGTGGCTGGGAGTGGTTATTAACAATTCTTTCAAGAAAACAACCTTAGGCTTTTGTGCCTCTTCATGGTAGCCCATCCTCACTCTGTAGGGTGCACTTCTTTTCCCACTTTTCTTTGGCCCAAACTCACTCTGCAGGGCCTGTTTCTTTTCCTGCTTCTAATAGGACTTTGCTACTGTTTGGGAAACAAAACAAAACAAAACCAACCTCCCTTAATCTTTTCCTGAGGACAGCTTCCCTCTGAGATCTAGTGACCTTGACCAGGCCCCACCTCTTAAAGGCCTCACCATCATCACACTGAGGATTTAGCTTCCATCACATAAACCCACTGGGGAACAAAACATAGCAGTGCTCAGTAGATAGAAGCTGTTGGTGACAGTTTTTGTTTTTGTTTTGTACCGGGTATTGAACTTGGGTCCTTCGCGGAACCACTGAGCTAAATCCCCAGCCCCAGTTTTTGTTTTTGACAGGGTCTTGCTATGTAGCTCAGGCTGGCCTCAGATTTTCGATCCTCCTGTGTATTGAGATTACATGCCTGTCTAGAAGCTGTTGTTGTTATTTTTTCCCAAGGTACTACGTATTGAATCCAGGGCCTTCACACCTTGTATATCCTTAGTCTTCTTTAAATTTTTATTGTGAGACAGGGTCTTGCTAAGCCACTAAATTGCCCAGGCTGGGTTTGAACTTGTGATATTTCTGCCTCAGCCATCAAGAGAAAATGGACCAAAAAAAGCAAAGATCATGGTCTAGGGTTGGCCTTGGGGAGGACTTGAGCAGGCTTCCTACCTCCATCCCACTGTGGGATCACCTAGTTATTACCCTATCCAAGGCCATACTATGGCCTCTCTGAGAAGACCCTTGCCCTATTTTTATCCTGGTCTAAGTCTCTGGACAGGGCCTGGCAGTCCCCAGTGAAGTTGGCCAGGCCCACGTCACAGATCACAGGAATCCCAGAGAATTCCAGATTGTTCCCAGCTCTGCTGGTCGAGATTAGCCTTACAAGGTCTGTGAATATGCCCAGGCCATTATAGATGTTGTATGATTTAGCCCAATTCCAGTGTATTGTGTTCTTATCTTGTCCAAAACACTGTGCTAGGTGTTGTAAAGAGTGCAGGGGGAAAAAAATCTCTCTTCCAGGCTGCCAACTCTAGCCTCAAAACACCTTCAGGACTCCCTACAGCTACAGGTGAAGGTCTGCATTCAATGTGGATTTCAGAGCCTGTGCTCTGATTGAATCTGTCTTTCCAGCTCCTTGTTCTGTTGTCCTCCCCATTCCCTGTGTGCCAGCTGCTAGTATGCCCATCATTCTCCACAGCCTGTCCCGACTGCTGCATTGAAACTTTTTTGAAGGCCATATTGGTGTTCTTTACATAACTACCTTGTAGCTTATTTAACTAATCCCTTGTGGGTGAGAATTTACTCTTATGCAGTACTGTGTATCTTTGGCCCCTGTGCAGAGGAGTCTCTTTTAAGACCTACCTGTGCCAGGGATGTAGCTCAGCAGCGCCGCACCTGCCTGGCAAGCGCAAGGTCCTGAGTTCGATCCCTTGTACTGAAAAAACAAAAAAAATCTCTACCTCCAATGGCTCTTTCCCTCTCCCTTCGGTTTTTGTAGTGCCTGCTTCATAGCACTCTTTTTTTTTTTTTTGGTACTGCGGATCGAACTTGGGTCCTTGCGCTTTTGAGGCAGGCGGCGGAACCGCTGAGCTAAATCCCCGGCCCTACATAGCACTCTTTCCAAGAGCACTGAGGGCAGGGATGGTGCCATTTCTCCCTCCTCCTTTGGGCACTTGCAGTCAGTTGCTGACCACTCAGGCACTCAGGAGTTTGTGGTGCTATGGTACCTGTCATTCACATATCATCCTTTGTGCTCCCTCTGCTAGCCCTGGTCCCCTTGTAGGGGCTATGGCGGAAACAGAGCTGGTGAGAGCCAGGGGGCCCTTGGCTGCCTCAGTCCAGCTTCCTTCTTTGTGCAGAGCTGTGTCTGGATGGGCTGATGTGTTTCCATGGCAATAGACTTCTGCAGCATCGTTCTTACTAGCTTCCCACTGTTTCACTACAGGGATGGGCCATAATATAGTCAGGCCCCTCTTGATGGAGTTTAAACAAATTTGAGAGGGTGTCCTTTGCCAAGAAAAGAACTCAGTTCACGCCTGCCCATGAAACTAAAAGCAGCAACTACTGTTTGCTGAGCACTTTGAAAATGAGCTGGGCCCTGAGAAAAGAGCTTGACCTTCCATTGGATATGATAATGTTATGAGGCAGGCCCTGTTGTCTCTATGTTATAGAGGGAAATGGATGTACAGAGTAGGTGAGTTGGCATAGGGTCTTCAAACAGTGTATCTCAGGAGATGGGATCCCAACTCAGGAGTTCTTGACTCAGGAGCTGAGCATGTAACTATCAAACCTACTGCCTCCTTAAAGGAGAAGGAAGTGGGGGTGGGGCAGGTCTCTCCCAGGCTTTGTGCCAATAGCAGGCTGCCCTACAACTGAATTGAGGCTCACACCCAGAAGGACGATGGCTGCCATTAGGCCTTTGCCACGGAGGCAGCACAAAGGATCCCTTTGAAGGCTGAGTCCAGGAGCACCCTCCTGGCCTGCTCCTGAGCCAAGCATCCAGGGGGCCAACCGGCATTTCTTGCTCAGCTGTTTGGCCAGAAGTTGGAGGAGTGGTCTGGAATTCCTTCCCTGAACAGCTCACACTTGGTTAGGACTCGCTGTTTCCAGATGGATATGGCATTGAAGTTGCATGTCAGGTCTCCCAGTGCAGCCTGGGAGCCTTCAGACCATGGGCCTCCCTTCCCAAGCAGCCAGGCTTTGGAAATGTATTGATTTCCCTCCTCCCCTTCCCTTCTTTTGCACTTTGGATGAACCTTGTTTTCGAGGAACAGTAGAAGGTAATTTTCCTGTGCTTGCCAGCTGGCCTGTAATTGAGCAATTTCAATAACACCCACTGTAAAGTCTAATCGAAGTAAATAGGAAAATATGATTTACAATCTGGATGGCAAGTAAATACCAAGGTACAATTAATTTTTACATAGAGCAGCAGATTCTAAAACATTTTTTTGTGCTGAGCAGTTAGGAGCCGGCTTTCTATTTATTACTATTATTGTCATTATTTTTTAGTTTTTGATGGTGGTCTTCAGAGTCCTTGTATCCTGACAAAGCCTGACTTTCTTTGGATGTTGAACCGCAGAAGGGTGGGATGGGGAAATAGGATCAGAGAAATTAACTTGTAAGGAGGAATTTTTCAAGCCTAAACTAAAGGCTATATTTGCTTCATGGGAAATGATGGTGAACTAGGGAGGGGGAAGTGACTGGTTGTGCGGAATGGTGATATTGAGGGGGGTCCTGTCACTGTGGAAAGTCTACTCAGTGTTTTATTCTGGAGAAGAGGACAAAGCTACAAAGGCTCTCAAGGGTTGCAAATATATTGATGTTGAAATGTGGCACTGCCAAGAAGAGGAAATGTGTGATTTTAAATGGAGCCTTCTGATTCTTCCAGTAGCTTCTCCTCATAACTGGGTGGAGAAGGAGAGCAGTGTGCCAACTGTAGATCCTCTGTGCCAGTTGACTGCCTGAGTGCTGCCCCCTTCAGTTTTGGACACGGAGATGAGGCATGTTTCAACCCTTTATCCTGTCTTCACTTGTCCTAGTATGTGCTAAAGCTGCCGGTAAAGCCAGCTCAATGGTCAGATGTCACCTGTCTTTTTCTGTTTGTTTTTGTTTTTTGAGATAAGCCCTCAATATGTAGTTCAGGCTGGGCTTGAACTCATTATGTAGGCCAGGGTGGCCTCAAATATGCAGCAGTCCTCCTGCCTCAGCCTCCTGAGTGCTGGGATTACAGGCATGTGCCACCACACCCAGCTCAATGTCACATGTTTTGAGCACTTCGCAGGGGTTGCAGATTATTAGCCAGCCAGACCTTCAGATAGATTTTAAAGGTGTTGTGTGGATAGACCCAAATTTGTTGTATCACTCAGCAGGATACTGACTTAGGGATGCTCAAGGCTGGCATAAGGGAGGCCTTCCGAGAAAGTGATTTTAGACTTTGGTGACCTTCTCACAATGTACCTCGTTTAGTAAGGTGGTTGCCATCTGTTCCCACAGGGTCCACAGATGTGGGGTGGGGGGCTGTTGTCTCAGGGTCCATGTCTTTCTTAGTCCTGAACCCCTTTGCCTATCTTTTATCTTTCCAGGGAGTTTTACCACGCTTGGCCATTTCCCAGAAAGGAGCCACTCCAAGGGTGAGGGACCCATGGGCAGCTGTTTACGCTGATATCATTCTCCTGGGGGTACCCAGGCATCACTGCTGCCCAGGTCTGCCTACCTGAAGATGGCTTCCACCCACCCTGGGATGCAGCCCAGCACCTGAGGTTCTTACCATGGTGATGATCCTGAGGAGAAGCCTCGCCAACCAGGGAGCTGACTCTATAGCATGCAGGACCTTCAGCCCTAAACTGGTGAGGACCTAGTGGGCTTCATTTCTTTCATGACTTTCTCTGAGGCCTGGCATGCAGGTGGTTGTAGATGGGGCATCCAGCCTCAGCAAATGGGGTTCAAAGTGCCTGAGAGTAGAGCTGTGTGAGACTGGGGTCATGGGGCAGTGGGGCCCAGAGCTTTGCTGTATACCCACAAGAAGGAGGTAGCCTGGCCCAGATTAGAGCTTATCTGGTGATTGGGCAGGGTAGGGCCATTAAATAATACCAAGGATGGTTCAGCTCCCCTTCCAGGCTGAGCCCGACATTCCTTCTGTCTCTACCTGGCAAGGGGAGGTGGTTTCAGAAGGGGCCCTGAGTGGTGGCCAAGATAAGGCCTTATCTCCACAGGGTGGTGCGGAATGAGAGCTGCTGTCTCGGGAATGTCAGGAGTGGGACATGAAGGAAAAGAAAGGTACGGCCTGGTGGCCAAGGCGGCAGGCTGTGGTGACAGCTACCCTCCTCTGGCTACCCTCTGCCACAGTTATCCTCTAATCATGTAGTAGTGGTCTAGGGCAGAGAAGCAGGTAACTAAGCCTTAGACTATGAGCAGAACAGTCTTACTCCAACCCTCCTTCTGAGCCCAGTTCAGGAGTGAGTGGGGCTGAGAAGTCACAGCCAGGCAGAAATAGCCTCGATGAGGTATGCAGCTGGGTGTGCCCTTGAATTAGGCAGCTTCCGTGGTTCAGTAAGGGGCCAACAACCACCCAGTCATATCACCCACTTTCCCTCCTGGCATCCTTCACCGCCCCTTATGAGAACCCACACTAAGCACTCTTGCTGGCTCCCATTCCTGATCTCATGCCAATGAAAAGCAAACTGAGCAAATAGATCGAGATCCCTGGCCCTGGCAAGAGCTTGGGAAAGCCACCGAGATCTGCATGCGTTCCACAAGCCTTCCCTGAGCCCCTGATGCATGTCACACGTGGGCTGGAGGAATTCAGGAGCTAGCGTGACTCAGAGCTGAGCCTTACCTTTCTCTCCCTTGAGCAGCTTCCAGTCTGGAGGGAGGGTCATCTGGACAGCTGGGAGTACTGTGACCCTCCAGGATCCCACTAATGGTAACTCGTAACTGAAGGCCTTATGGGGTCTGGGAGCATATAGGAGTGCGCCAGCTTGGCTGAAGCACATCAGAAAACATCTTGCAGAGTAGGAGCACTAGATGGGACCTTGAAGGATGAGCAGAAGGGGCTTGGAAGCCATTGGGCCCAGCCTTCTCATTTTATAAACGTGGCAGCTGAGACTTGGACCGGGACAGTAACTGCCTCACTAGCTCTGCTTCTCCCTGCCTGACAGACCTCTTTGCGGGCCTCTGTTCAGGCTGGTGTCTGGATACCAGTCTTTGAGGCTTTTCCCTGTGTCCCTGGCACTGCTGCTCCAGGGCAGAGAGCAGGCACTTACGACGTGTTTGGTTGATGACACCTGTGTTTAGTTGATGACAACTGTGATCATTGCAGCAAGGAGTGGAGCTGCTATGGCAGTTCAGCTCTCTGCCATCACTACTTCCTTTCCAGTTTGCATTTAATAGATATTTGCAATTTGATCATTTCTTATCCTCCCATTGCCACCACCCTTGTCTCACTTGCTGGCCGCTCACATGGATTCTTGTGGTAACTGGTCCCCTGCTCCTGGTTCTTTTAACTTGTTTTCCATTTAGCACCCAGTGGGAATACCAGCCAGATCTGTCCATTTTCTGTTCACTACTGTTCACTACATGTTCTGTTCCTCCTGGCAAGCAAATCCCTAGGTTGTACAAGGCCTGTGTGGTCTTGCCTGTGGTGACCTCTCTGACCTTATACTTGCTGCCCTTTTTTACTCTGCTGAAGCCACACTGGCCTGGCTCAGACATGTCAAGTGTGAGCCTGCCTTAGGGCCTTTGCACTTTTTTCATGACCTGGTGCTTTCTCCCCTTAGCAGTACTCTCTCCCTCCTTTTCTTTCTTCTTTGGCTACTTCTTTTCTTTCTTTTTTTTTTGTATTGGGGATCGAACTCGGGTCCTTGCACCTGAGCAGCAGGCAGCTTTTTGTTACTTCTTTTTTATGGTACCTGGGATGGAACTCAGGTCCTTGCGCTTGTGAGGCAGGCGGCAGAACCACTGAGCTAAATCACCGGAGGCTACTTCTTTTCTTCTCAGCCTAAAATTTAATCCTGTCCCCAGCCCGTGGCTCCCCTGCACCTCCCTTTTTATATCCTTTCTGTCCTCTTTTCCCATCTATTTTCTGTCTTAAGCACTTACACTTTTTAACAGTTACCTATTTGTTATGTTTATTGAGTGACTCCCCATGCTAGGATGGGGCTTCACAAAAGCAAGATATTTTGTCTGTTTTGCTTGTTGCTAATACTTGGTGCCTGGGACCCACCTGAGCCTAGTGCCTCCTGGGTGCTTAGTAAATACTTGTAGAGTGAATCCTTGTGCAGGTTCATTGCCCAATGGCTTACAAGTTTGTCATTGTTTTGGTCCCTTTCTGGCTGCTGGTCAGATCACAACTGTGAGGATGGGGTGCAGATATGAGCTGTTTTGTTTATTTGTCGGTGGTGACTTTCTTTTCCTGTGGAAATCTGAAGAATACATCTAGAGTAGCTCTGTCCAGAAGGAGCAGCCTTAGGGCAAGGGGCCATCTAGAAAGCTGTTCTTTTGGCTCCCATGGCTGCTGCTGTGCTCAGTCCCTTCTCAGAGTGGGACTGGCTGGTGCTGGCCATAGACCTTGCTCCTGGATACATGGGCTTGAGGTGAGCTGAGTTGATTTCCCAGAGATGTGGCCTGAGCCCCTGCTAGGAGGAGCATGACCTTTCATCCCTAGCCAGGGAAGGGGAACTTGTCTTCTCAGAAAAGAAGAAAGTCAGGGAATGAGCAGGCTCATTGGAGGAGTCTTTGCCTGTATTTCTGTCTTATAGATTGGAGTCTTCACTTTCTTCCCAGACCCTGTGTGCCTTCCTGAAGAGTGTCCTCCTTTCCATTGCTTCTTGTTACTGGCTGATCTAGGCCCAGAACCACCTGGCACAGTGCTGTGGGCCCATCTGTTTCCCCCTGCTCCCCTTCTCCGCTCTGCTCCAGATGGCAGGCCAGTGTGGGAGCAGCCCCTATGGAGCAGCCCATCTGTGGGTTGGTTGACACAGCACACATTGACTATTGGCCGAGTTCTGGGCCTGGCCCAGTGCTGCTTGCCTGGGGTGAGTGGAAGCCCTGTGTGGGCCCACAGGAAGGTGCTGGGGGGGTGCCTGGGATGTTGCTCACGGAGTCCAGAGCCTTATGCCACCCATCTCTAGCCCTTATCCAGACAAACTGCAGATCAGGTCAGGGTATGAGTGTCCAGGAATAGCTTATAAGCAGGGCATCAGGACACAGACTTCGGGTCCCAGCCACCTGCTCTACCCAGCTCCTTTCGGCATGGCGCGAGAGGCTGTGGCCATCTCAGGGCTCCTGCAGGCCTCCTAGACAGCTGCATAGTAAACAACTGAAAAGAGATCCTGCACAGTCTCAGGCCAGAGATGACCTGCAGGACACCGAATGGCGGGGTCACCTGGTTTCAATGTTGACTAGTAACAGCCAGCAGAGGTCCAGGGGGAGGCGATGTGTTTTGCATCCGCTTTTGCAACTTGTAATATCATCCTCATGTAAATACTGTACCTTGAAGATAACAGTAGGAAAGACAAAAATAATTTCTCTTTTGTTTTCCGGTCAGACCAAGAAGATAGCAGAAGTGGAAAGTTAAGATTAAAAAAGAAAACACAATCCTGGGGAGGCTGGGAAATGCACTAGCACAGGCCATTTGGATTCTGGGAACAGGTCCCTGTGGCACAGCCCACCCTGGCCCCTGAGCTATTCATCACAGAGAAGAGAAGATCTGAGCCTGCAGGGGAAAATCACAGGGGTTCTGGAAGCTCTGGGTGTTAGGACATGCTGGAAGAGAGCCCACACTGTTGCCCTGAGGCCTAGTGAGAAGCAAGAGGAGCCGCTTCTGTCCCAGCCCTTGTAGTCATCCTTATAATGACTCTCATTTTCCTTTCAAAAACTAAATGCTGGTGACAATGTGAATGTCTCTATTGCTGGGAAAGATGTAGGAAAAAGAAAGAGCTGATGAGTGCTCCGCAGTTTTCCTTTTTGGGCATTGGAGCCACTTGTCCAGGAGAGATGGTCCAAAGGCACAGGCCTTGCCTGTAGCCCTGGCTTAGCTCATACAACCGGCAGCCGTGACTCAACTGGCTCCCCTTTCCCCCGTTGCCTGGTCGTTTTCCACTGCTGAGCGGGCTCTTCCTTCTGGTGTTCTAACATTAGCTGCTGCCGCTGGAACACAGCCCAGACATTTGACCCTGGAGCACTGTGCTCTCGCAGCTCCTTCCCGTACGCCCACATGCGCTGGGGGTGGGGTGGGGCGCAGGAGCCCTTCTCTCATTTCCAGAGTGACCACCTCCTTTGGCCGGGCCTGGTCATCTTTCCTCGGCCAGTCTCCCAGCCCTCTCTCAAGACTGGAGACCAGAGGCAGCTGGCAAGTGGCCACTGTGGGGCAGAGGGTGGCACATGGCTCCAGTTTGCCTGACTTTCCCCCTAACAAGCCACACAGGAGTTTCTGAGGGACTAACCTGGTAGGTAGAATGGGTACTTCCTTCTGTGCTTATGAGAGTAGGGTGCCAGGGATAAGACACTTGCCAGTCTGAAGGGTTAGTGGCCATGTTGGGCCTTGTACCCAGCTGCCTAGGCACTGGGAGTCTTCATCCTCCTGGTGATGCCAAATTGTACTTTGGGCTCAGCAGCCCAGCCAGGCTCCTGGGCTGGCCACAGGCTGGACCAGTACTGCATAGAGTCTGAGGAAATCTTGTGCCTTTCACCCTGGAAGGCAGAGACACCCCAGGGATGTACGTACCTCTGAAGCCTTGGAAGCAGGGCTGTAGGATCCATTTGTGTCTTTGAAGGCCTCCTCCCAAGAGTGCTGCTCCCTTCTCAGCTCCCCTCCGGCCTAGATCTCCCTTCTGCTTTCTACTGCCACAGTCTCTCACTAGTTCTGTTTAAGAGATGTGGGTGATGTGCTGGTGCTCTGTGGTGCGTGGCTGTGAGCTCCTCCCTGTTGCACTGTGGCTCCCCGTACCCTATGTCAGGAGAAGGAAAAGGTGACTTGATTGCTTTGGTCAGTGATCTGCAGTAGAAAGTTGCAAAGAACCATGGTTAAGGCCTGGCATTTTCTGCACAGGCTAGTTCCTCATTTAGAGCCCTAATTGTGTCTTTATTTAAGTCAGGCCTCTTTTCTTTAGTCAGACAGATGGCCCTGAAGTCTCAATTGGATTTTCAGCTTTTGCCTCTCCTACAAGGGTCTGATTCCAAAAACTTTTTGTTATGTGAGGAGTCTCACAGAGATGAGGCCCTGCTCTGGGTGGGCTTGGGAACAGAGGCCTTGAAGAGAGAGGGGTACAGAGAGAAAATGTGCTCTGTCTTCCGGCACTGCAGACCTCAGCCAGGCCTTGGATGTGTACTTCTGTGCAAATAGCAGACTCTTGTGAAGCTTTAGGGGCTGACAGTTCCCTTGGGGCTGGTAGGCCTTAGCACACAGCAATTTGTTCCTCCTCCTGGTGTGTGTGCAGAGGGTTTGAAGGGTTGGAGAAGCTGGCTGAAGGAATGATGCACACCAGCGGGAATTTTCTTATACTCTGGGCAGACTGGGAATAGAAAGGCTCTGGTCAGACTGGAGCCCAGTGGGGACACCTGGCTGTTACTTTGCCCATGTAGGGTGGGACTCAGGGAAATCTGCCAGGGGTTGGGGTATTCCTGGGTTCTCATACTGGGAAGCTATTGGGTAGGAGATGTTCTGGCCTGGCTACCATCAGCTTTACGTCACAGACAGGGCTCAGACAGCAAGATAGGGCTCTGATCCCACCACGAGGTCTTGAATGAAACCAATGAGAGTTCCTCATTCATGACAGGGACCGTCTCTAGCTAACTCACGCCAAAAGAATACTCCAGGGGCACATGGCAGAAAGCTCACGGGCCTAGAGTAGAGTTGGTGGGACAGGGCCCTGGCATGAGAAAACTGTGGAAAGAGGTACTCAAGGGCAGTCTGAGGCCTTCCTTTTAGGTGAACTGGCACTGCACTCCTTGTTTTGGGAGTCAGAACATGAGGCAGTCATTGTGTGGCCAGCAAGCCCTAGTTCCCTGCTCACCCTGAGCCAGAAAAAATGGAGGCACCTTAATTAACAGCACCACCAAGACATTGTTCAGAGAGGGAGGGGAGGTTTTCCAAGGCAAAATTGGGGTGTTAGTAAAAGGGGATCTGTACTACTGGGCCATGAAATTTCATACACTCAGTGAGGAGCAGGATGGCTCACTTTCAATGGAGAAAATGGAGAATGTGTTCTTTCAAATTGTAAAAATCTTAGTGTGAACCATCCCTGGTTTGCTAGCACCGGGGGTAGGGGTGGGGTGGGGGTGTTGGAGCCTGGGCAGGCCTGGTTAGTGGGGCGGCCTTGCCTCTCCCAGTTCCCCACTGAGTTTTGACTTTCCCTGTGGTCAGCAACTGGGGAGGCAACATGTTCTTCCCAGTGAAAATCCCACTTCTGTTGGCCGAATTGTCCCCTGGATGTGTGGGAACAGGAACGGGATAGGCTGGCTCTGATAGGTGGCTCCAGCCATGGTGCCTGCTCTGTGCTGGAACATCACAAACAAGATCACCCCTTGCCCTGGGAAGCTTCATTCTCACAGAGCAGGGAATATGCACAGTCAGAAGCACATTGACCTCACTGTGTTTTGGGAAACCAGGTGTGCTGGAGAAGAGCACGTGGTGGGAGGGTAGTGATCTAGTCAGGATGGTCAGGAAGGGCCAACGAGGAGCCCACATGATAGAAGGGAGAATGCAGAGCCACTCATGTAGAGGTCCCAGTGCAGAGGAACCGAGGTACCAGCACCTAGCAGCAGGAGAGAAGAGAGGATGAGCACAGGAAGGTGAGGGAGCCTGGCGGCTCACACAGGGGTGTAGCTTGGGGAGAGGAGTGGCCTGAATTTTATGCTGGTTGCTGTGGGAAGTTGGGGACGAGTGATGTGGTTGGATCTCCGCTTTAAAAAGATGGCTCTGAGTTCTGAGTGAAAGGTGGCGAATGGGTCAGGGGCACCCAGCAGGAGACCAACGGGGTGGTACATTTGGTGGCAGCTTGGACAGGGAAGTCGTAGGGTAGTGAGAGTGTGCACTCCATCTGGGAAATGATGGGCTCCTCTGGGGATCTGCAGCAAATGCTGAAAGTCCTTGTTGAGTGAATAAATGAGTGAGTGAGTGAGTGAATGGGCACTTGGGAGCCCTGGGTGCTGGCCCGGGGGCATCCTGCTCTAGGTCACAACTCAGGCCGACATACTTTTGCATTCTTTGCAAGGTAGCTGGTGCCCACTGAAATGCCCACATTCCCTGGGCAGGCCTGGGTCAGGAGTGCTCTGAAGTGCTTCCTGTTAGAACAACTAGGTGCCAACTCAGTGGGGCTGGGACTGTGGGCACTGTCCCACCAACAAGGCAGGAGTTGGCTGTGTACTGTTTCTGTCTGTAAGGCCCAAAGCCTCCCATGGCACCTATCTACCAGGAAAGCAGCCTTCGTGTTCTCTTCTGTTTTCAGTGGTCCCTGTCATGGTTTGGGCTTTGGTGGGCTACCAGCCAGGGGGCCTTCAGCAATCCGATCAGCCCAGGGTGTGGGAACCATGTTTCCCCAGTGGGCATTTTTTTCCCCCTTGTGCCTGGGTGCTCCCTGAGTGCTGGGAGTTTGTCACCCTTGGTAGGCATGACACCCGGCAGGGGAGAAACCCAGTTTCTGTCTCTGAACCCTTCTCCTGAGAGCAAGGGAGCTGCCTGGTGTCTATAGGCTGTGCACTTGGCTGTGTGAGTGACATAGCCCCAGTGACAGGCTCTCATGTGTTCATTACCATTCCCCATTGGGTGACTTTGGTGTTGGTTTCAGCTGTGTATCCTGCAGTGTTAACCGGGTTAACTGGGAGGGAGGCAGATGCAGCTGTCTTCACCTCTTCCAGATACTGCCATGGGTGGCCATAGAGTGGATGGTTAGTTACATCCAAGAGGGTAACGTAGCCCAATAGTGCAAGTGTTGTTTTAAACTGAGGAGGGGGTTGTGGTGGTACACACCTGTAATCTTAGCACTCAGGAGGTTGAGGCAGGAGGGTCTCTGTTAGTTCGAGTCAGCCTGGGCTGTATAATGAGTTCAAGGCTAGCCTGAATGACATACAAGACCCTCTCTCTCAAAAAAAATTAAAATAAATAAAAAAATAAAAAATATAAAACCAAACAAACCAGAAAACAAACAAAAAACTGGAGAGGGACTGTAGAAGGACTGCCCACCCATCTTCTGGTTCTTCAACGCCAGCTCAGGAGTCCCCCCAAGAAGCTGGCCCTCACATCTTACCCCACCCCGTACATAACCCCTGAGCTCCCTTCAGCTTCAGTGTAATGGTTTGTCTGTGGGACTGATTTCCATGAAGCGTGAGTCCTCCTTTACCTCTGTGGCCATGCATTGGTATGGATGGACCTTTAATAACCCTGTGGGATAAATGCACTGCTCTCCAGGTACAAAGGTCTCCAGCTTGGGCAGATGGGGATGAGGTGAGGGAACTGGTTCCAGTGCTTACCACCCTTTTATCTGGATGGGCCAGGTGTTCCTAGTCAGCTCCACCCTCTTTCCAGGATTTAAAGAGCCAAGGACTGGTTCCTGTGTACTTCTCAGCTACTTATAAGCCTTGCGTGTCCTTATCGCTGGGGGTGGGGAGGGTATTGAGAACTCCTCTCTAAAGCTGGTTGATCTGTCTGGGGCTGAGAGCTTCTTTCCCCTTTGCATGGTCCCCCCCAGCACAGCCTGCAGACAGATGACTGCCATTCCTATCTGCTGAGCGGGTAAATGAATAAGGGGCCAGCAAGTCAGTCTTTGGAATGCTTGAGGCAGCTGGTCCTGGGGTCCTGACGGGGAGTCTCCTCCACAATGGTGGTCAGAGTGGACCCATTGACTTCGATGTCAGCTAGCATGAGGAACCCCCAGAATCCACCACACTCAGTTTGCTCTCTAGCCATGGAACAAATGCCTGGCACGTTGCCTCCTGTAGGCTGCCTGGGCCTGTTTTTTACCCCATGGTCATGGTGTCAGGCTGAGTCTAGGAATGAGGGAAGGTGGAGAATGCTCACTGTGGAAGGAGAAACTTGTGGAAAGACAGTGCCCAGGAGTCAGTGCTAAGGATGAGACCCGGTGGAAGCATTGGGTTTCTGTGTCAGTTTAGAGGGGCCTCGCTGTAGCCACAGAGCAGCTGTGAGCACAAGCCAGCATTCCCTAAGCCTCCCATTGCTTTCCGGTAGAGAAGGAAGAGCCAGCCTCATTTCCAAGGGAGGGACCTGGGAGCGGGGTGGGCCCTCTACTCCTCGCTCCCAGGAAGTCTCACCTCTCCCACCCTGCCCCCAGCTTGTGGTGGAGTTTGTTCAACTGTTCACTGTACAGCTCCCCCACATCACCTATGGGGAGGCATCCCCAAATGTCAGAAGTCACGGCCTTTAAAAGTCCGTTCACTTGCTCCTTGGCTCGCTGGAGACTTGAAGACAGTCTGGGCCCAGTCGCATGCAGATGTTGTCTCTTGGGACACTCCTTTTGTCCTTCCCCTTGCATACTGCCCTTTGCCCTTGCAAAGGCCAGTTCTCTCTGTAATTGTGACGTTACCAAGAGATCAGTGCAGTCATGTGCGGATGTGCTTCTTATGACACGAAGAGTGAATAGCTTTTCTGGTTGTTTTCAGCACACACCAAAGAAGATGAGTCAAGGACCTACCCTTTTCTCTTGTGGAATTATGGGTGAGTAAACACGTGGCATGGCCGCCCTCCTCTAGTTGTTCCAGCCAGGTGAGATGCTGAAGGCACTTTCAAGTGCCAGAGGGCACTGGGGACTCTCTTATGTGTGTTTCAACTATTTCAGTCCCCAGTGCTGCTGGCGTGGTCTGGGAGCTGCTGGGGTGAGTGAGTGTGGGGACAGGCGCTGTTGTGTGGTTTACGAATACCACTTCCAACTCTAACATTGAGCGTTTCTTCTCATTATTATTATTATTATTATTTTTGGTAATGGGGATTGAACTTGGGTCCTTGTGCTTGCGAGGCAGGCGTCGGAACTGCTGAGCTAAATCCCTGGCCTCTTCTCATTATTAAAGTAATTGATAGTGACTTTTTTATTCAGAGAATATACCATAGTATATAAAGTAAAAATGTCTTTCAGCCTGAATTCCCCAATTCCCAGCATTAGCTACTGTTGATATTTTCATGTATGTTTGTTTTTGGAATTTTTTAACATAGCTGAGTGCATGATGAACATATAATTATATAAAACTGTATTTGTTTGCTTTTTCATTTGGTAGCTACCACAGCATGAAAATTATTCATTCCATTCATTTTAGTGGTCTGTATTACTGTATTGTGTAGATGTATCAAAATGGTTATTGGGCAAAAAGGGCTGTTGAATTTGCTGTTGTCATTAACAGTGACTCTTGAAGTGTCTGAGTCTTGTGTTTTGGATTATTCCTTAGGATAGTTCCCGGGGACCTTTTTTTTTTTGATACCGGGGATTGAACATGGGACCTTGCGTTTGCGAGGCAGTTGGCGAAACCACTGAGCTAAATCCCCGGCCCGACCTTTTTAGGTTATTGATTCATACTGCTGACTTGCCTCCCAGAAAGGGTGCCTTACTCAGCCTTCTGTTTCCTTGCAATTCTGAATTGCCATGTGTTCTAGGGGGCAAAAAAGATGACTGTATTAACTGTGGATTCCTTGATGCCCTGGGTGATTGGGTACAGTGTCTCCTTCTGCAGTCATTCCGTGACTCTCCTGCCTTCATTGGGATGTCCTGCCAGATGTGTTTCTGTAATGTCGGTGTTGAGTCAGAGATCAGACTTTGATGATGGGTAACTGCAGTGGGCATTCAGATTCACTTTGTCTCCACAGAAGCACATAAATTCATCCCTGCCTTCCTTTCTTAGTCCTTTGCCTCTATGTCCAGTGATTTCTTTTTCTTTTTTCAAGATTTTCCTGTAGATGTGATGATGAGTAGAGGGGTGCAGGGTCTGTTGAGCACTCTGTATGTAGTTTCAGGGCCAGAAAAGTTTGGGGGAAACTGAGGCCCAGTGAAGTGATCCTTCCCAAGGTCCCTTGAATGGCAGAATTGGACCACATAGAGGAAAAAGAAGATTGTTTCTTCTCAGTCATATGACACAGCTCTTGGGAGAGCTGGCCGGTCCTCTTTGATGCTGACACCCAGAGGAAATAGAAACAGGGAGATCACCTGGCCTTGGTTTACCATGTGATACACTTCTGAGGCCTGTCCCCAAATAGTTGAATATCTCCTTGGTGGTTAACAGCTTTCAAACCCTCTGCATCCTAGCACATAGCCCAGAAGCCTGCTGCATTGCCTGCTTCCTGGGACAGCCTCATGCCCGAGCTGCCTCCATTTGTCATGCCAGGAAAGAGAGAATTCTCTCCCCTCACCAGACTTCAGCTTGAAACAGAAGTCAGACTAGCCAGGGTTGTGGGAATCAAGGCTGTTCATGCATTAGGCTTCTCTGGCCTTTACACCTTCTGAGTTATAATAAGGTGAAATGTGTTGATGATGGGCAATGTTAGGGTCATACAATCATGCTGAACTTTTTAAATTTTTTGAGCTTCAGTTTCCTTATCTGAAAAATGGCCATTGTGATAGCACTCACTTTGAAGGTTTATTGTGAGAACTCTGTGACATAATGTTTATAAAAAGATTAGCACAGAGAGAGTACTTTATAAGTAATAGTTAAAAGGAAGACTGAGACCTAAGTTGAAGTCTGCTCAACTGAGGGTCCTGAACCGAGGGATGCTTCCTGAGAAGAAGCCTCCACATCTAAACAAAGGGAATACCCTGTCTTCCTTTGGAGAGGGAATACAGATGGGAGCTACGCTTGCAGGGGCCAAACCTCCAGCCAGGGGCCAAGGCAGAGGTCTGGGGAGGGAGGCTTATGGGCAGAAGCTCAGGTTACCCAGGATGTCTCTGAGTCTGTGGAGCTCAGGAGCCTGATTTCTACTAGAGGAAGCCTGCTTTCTATCAGGGAGGCTTGGGGTCTCCAGGAGGTACTGGGGTGTATCTCTTGTGTGTTTTAGGAAACCCTTTCTCCATCTTAGAGCCTTCACCCTTCCTTTTCCCCTTTGCAAGGCCCCATTCTGCAGGCCAGCACCAAGACACCACCAATCAGTCAAAGGAGGTGCTGGGGAAGCTGTGTAGGTGATGGGGTCAGGGGCATGCCCCTGTCCTGCTCTGTGTCTCTCTTCCTGACACACCTTTTCTGGCTGTTGCTCAGCCCCCTTGAGTCAGAACCCTGCCCAAAGGAAATTTCTTTCAAGTGGAGGAGAAAGCAACACAATGAATTCCCTGTGGTGTGGGCTGGCTTCTAAGATAGAAGAGTGCTTAGACCCATGAGCAAGTTACCCCATCCTGCTGTGCCTCAGTGTCTTCCTCTAGCTGATTGTGGATGTTGTGGGGATTCAAAGAGATAGCAGTACCCCAAAGGTGCCCACTCTGTCCCTTCCTTTCTGTCCTTTTCTGGCATCTTCTAAGGCAAGAGTGTCAGCTGTCCAAGGCCTGCCAAGTCCATTGTATGCTGAGAGAAGCTCAGGTTACCATTCCAGCCCATTTAACTTACGAATTGACGTTTTGTGGCCTCATCCTGTGCTGTGAAAACTGGGAGTGCATCTTAGACCCCAAGATTTCATCTTGGCTGTGCCTGCTTTTCAGTGGTGGGGAAGACAACACCCTGAGGGGTTGGCTAGACTTTTCAAGAGGGTTTTGGGCCCTTCCAGGGTTGGACAATGCAGAGAAAGTATAAAGGGCCAAATTATTATAATCACCAACCCCCAGTCTGTCTTCTGGAGATAAAGGGCTCAAGTGCTGGCCCTGATCAGTGGAATTGTCCTGTGTGAGCTGAATCTAGTTAGCCCCTTAGCCCATCCAGGAGCCCTAGCTGGAAGCTCATATGAGTCTGGGTTTCATAAGTGCTCAAAAGAAAGGTCCACTAAGTGCATTAGGGCTAAGAGCACAGCAGTGTCCTCTGTGCTGCTGCTTCTTAGAATGCCACCTTTCCAAATGGCTAGGCCTCCTTTCCACCCACTTAGAAAAACATGTTACTACTCAAGTGCTCGTGGTGATAGTTTTTGTTTTGTTTTCAAAGTGCTGCTTGTTTTATGATTTCAAGGTAGACACCAGTCTGCACCTCAACTTTGTCCCCTCTTCCAATTTGGAAACTTGATGCAAACAAGTGATTTTGTGCTTTTCCAGATTTGGGGAGAAAACCAAGTGAGGTGAGGTGTGAATGGGGAAACAGGGCAGAGTGGAGCCTAGCCCTGCCCAATTGCTCTGTGCCCAGCTAAGGGCCTTTTATTAGGATGCCAGGCCTACTCTGTCACTGCAGGGCCATTTCTGGAAGAGGCCAGGTTTGTCTTCTTGGTTTCCTTTCTCACTTCCCAGACATCACCTTCTGTGATGGAGTGGGATTTCCTTTGCAAACAACTTTTCTGGGGAAGAGCCATTGACTGAGGGCACACTGTGCTCTTGACACTGGAAGCGTGGGTTAGGTGGCAGCTCCATGGGCGTGATCCACTCCTGACCAGCTGGCCAGGCAGGAAGCTGGACCCCTGCTCCTGATACTGGCTTCCAGTGGGTACAGAACATAAATCCTCCTGTGTGGGGTGAGGTGAGGCCTGCATGGGAAGCCATTGTATGCAGCACCTCTGAATACTCTGCCATTTGTGATAGGAGATGCTTCTCCATGCTAACTGTGGGGCACACATCGACTAGTTTAATTGTTATTGGCGAAACTGGGCAAGTGGGGTGAGAGCTCCATTCACCACCCTCTGCTAATTGCAGCCATTAAATGAGTTCTGTGTTGTGGGGACAATGGACACCACACATTTCATTTTCCTCATTGCTCAGGCGAGGAAAAGACCTGGAAATCACATAAAATGCAAGAAAGTGAAGGCAATACCAATTATTTTAAAAAGGCCACTAGGAAAAGTCTTGTAAATACAAGTCAATGGACAGAACAAAACAATTCATATGCTAAAAAAAATTGGGTGGAAAGCCATAATTACTTTTAGGAGTTATGGTAATAAATTATTTATTAATGTAAATTATTTCACAGGCAAAGAACATAGAGGAAATGAGCAGAAGGATCATACATTATGTATAAAAAGGAATTGTAAAAATATTATAGCAGCCCTACTTGTGTGCTCAGTACAGGTTTATCAGCATTTTAATTATAAGCCCTTACTTTCAGTGTTTAATTACTTGGCTGTTAAAGTCTACTTGTACATAAAAGGGTTGTTCCCGGGGGCACTCTCTGGATGGATTTCTACAGGGAAACCAGTTGGCTATGTAGAGCTGCGTAGGACTGAGAGCTTTCACTTTGAGATTTGGTAGCTTTCGGTCTTTTAACTCAGTCACTATTTGTCCTTGAAAGTGGAATGTGATTACATCTTGTGTGAAAAAGCTGGCATTCACAGGCTGAGTGTTTTTCGGTTTCTTACAAAAACAATAAATGAATGAAACACAATGAAAAACAACAAATACAAAATCAGAGGTACTCAGGCCCCAGTTTTGGGCCCTTCCACATTTTTTTAAATCTTTCAGCGATAGCCATTTTAAGTGTTATGACTGAGCCGGGCTTCCTGTGAGAGACTGCTAATTAGAGTGCTGTAGTTTTCAGTGTAGAGGTCTTTTGCTTCCTTTGTTAGGTTAATTCCTAGATATTTCATTTTTCTGGTTGCTATTGTAAAAGAAATTTGTTTCC